TTCTGTACCACAGACTGTACCCAGGGGAGGCCACACCTAGTCTGTATGGTTTACCTAAAATCCACAAACAAGGTGTACCTTTAAGACCTATTGTTAGCATGATTAACTCTGTCACTTACAATGTTTCCAAATATCTGGCGTCTGTACTCATCCCTTTAGTTGGCAGCTCAGAACACCACATACAGAACACCATGGACTTTGTGGATAAGGTGAGGGATGTCATCATGGAGACTGATGAAACAATGGTCTCTTTTGATGTCACATCACTCTTTACGTGCATTCCTGTTGATGATGCAGTAGAGGTGGTCAGTTTAAGATTAAAATCAGACACCACTCTGAGCAGCAGGACCACGCTTTCCACAGAACAACTGTGTCAGCTCTTGAAACTGTGCCTGCAGTCAACCTACTTCACATATGGGGAGCAATATTATAGGCAGAAACATGGGTGTGCTATGGGGTCTCCAGTTTCTCCTATTGTTGCCAACCTGTACATGGAGGAGGTAGAAAAGAGAGCCTTGATGTCCTTTTCAGGGACACCACCAAGTCATTGGTTCAGGTATGTTGACGACACCTGGGTTAAAAATAAATCTCAGGAAGTCCAACATTTTACTGACCACATCAACTCTGTGGATAAATACATCAAGTTCACACGAGAAGATGTAAAAAATGGCAGGTTGGCTTTCTTGGACTGTGAGGTCTCAGTCTCTGAAAGAAGACATTTGCAAACTGAGGTGTACCGCAAACCCACCCACACAGACCAGTATTTGCAGTTTGACTCCCATCACCCTTTGGATCACAAGTTAGGAGTCATCAGGACTCAGTATCACAGAGCAGAGAGCATCCCCACTAACTCAGGAGCCAGGCAGAAGGAGAAATCCTACACAAGACAGGCTCTAAAGCAATGTGGATATCCTAACTGGGCCTTCCTGAAAGCAGAGAAGAAACCCAAACAGGACTCCAGTCAGCCATCAGGTGAAAAAGAGGAACCCAGACCCAGACCAGTGGTCATTCCGTATGTTGAGGGAGTATCAGATAAACTGAGACGTTTATTTTCTAAACATAACGTCCCAGTGGCTTTTAAACCCCAAAATACATTATGGCAAAGACTGGTTCATCTCAAAGATCCAGTCCCCCGGCACAAACAGAGTAATATTGTATATGCTGTTCAGTGTCAGGAAGGCTGTGATCAGTCTTACATCGGGGAAACTAAACAGCCACTGGCCCAAAGGATGGCCCAGCACAGAAGATCAACATCATCAGGCCAGGATTCTGCGGTCTACACTCATCTCTAGGCTCATCTCCAAATGGAGCTTTGATCAGGGCCTGTAGGACCAGCGTTAAATCCTACTGTGGAACAAGTGGGCATGAAACAGGCCTGCGTCTCTGTACACCTTTTAGAAAACGCTTCATCAGCGGATAATTAAAAGCTGTTCTGTCTCCGAACCATTTGTGGCAGGAAGAGATGGCTGCAGCGTATGTTTTAATCGTGCTGAACGCTAAGTTCCTGTCCATCAGCTGTTGTAGAAAGGACAGCATGCCACCTACTGGACATGAAGTGGCCTCTACACCCTTCTCTGTACACCAGCAATGAAAAGATGTCCGCTTTGATGTGTACAACGTTGTGGTAGATGCAGCACGTGAAACCTGAATTGTGCGCACTACATCCTGTGGGAGACCCATCCTCTCTAAGCGGATCCACTCAGCGGCCAGACCCACAGGTGCTGGCCTATTTCTGGATAACTCCTGATCGCTCCTCCTGCCTGGAGGAGAGCGTCCTCCCTCCATGGCAGTTTCCACGGGCGCCCCGACAGCAGGCGTTGCAGGACTGGGAACCATGGTGCGTTCACGCGCTCGGGGGTCACCAGGAGAGCTGTCACTCCCTCCTCCTGGACTCGGTTCAGGAACCGTAAAATCAGAGGAGGTGGAAGAAACGCGTACAGAAGTGTTTTGGGTCATGGGCTGTGGGCAAACGCATCCACCCCCAGAGGTAGTTCGTCTCGCGGGCTCAGAGAAAACCATAGTTGACACTGAGCATTTTCACGTTAAATTTCTGTTAAATTTCTGCTAAATTTCTGCCACGTCTGAGCCATCAGATCTGGATGGAGAGTCCAGTCCCCGTGACGTGGACCGCCCCTGGTCATCACATCTGCCCCTTTGTTCAGAACACCGGATATGTAAACTGCTCTGATGGAGAGCAGATTTTGGTGTGCCCAACCCAGTAGTTTTCGTGCAATGTGTAACATCTGGGCTGGGTGCACACACCCCTGCTGGTTTATGTACGCAGCAGTCACCTTGTTGTCTGTGTGAATCAAAACGTGTTGATTCTGTAGCACAGGAGCAAAGTGTTGAATCACGTTCAGCACCATACGACACTCCAAAACATTTATGTGGGCTGATGTGTGATGGGGCCACAGCACCACTACAGCTTGAGATAGGCATGTCCCCCCCCAGCCGGACAGCGACGCGTCTGTGAAGACTGACACGTGTGACGTGGGTCTGCTGACGGGGATTCCCTCAGACAGAACCAGGGTGTTTCCCCAGTGTCGGAGGTCTGCCCTCACGGAGGGAGGAACAGTGATCATCCGTCTCTTTTGTTTTACTGGATCCACACGCAGACGCGCAAACCACCTCTGGAGGCGTCTCATGTGTAGTAAACCCAGCGGGACCACTGTGTGAGCTGACGACATCGTCCCTACCAGCTTCATTACGGAAACAGCTGTTATCACTCTGCCAGGTCTTATGTGGTGGAGCTGGTCTTCCAGAGTGTCGATTCTCGTTTGTGATAAACGAGCCCTCATGGTGGTTGAGTTTAGCTCCACTCCCAGATAAACAATTGTCTGGGCCGGGAAAATCGAGCTTTTCTTCCAATTTATGGCGAAGCCTAGATTTAACAGGTGTGATGTCAGTGCCTGGGCCTGTCTCGTTGCCTCCTGTCTTAAGCGTGACAGCAGCAGCAGGTCATCCAGGTAAAACAAAACTCTCATCCCTGCTCTGTGTTACGGTTGTAGGGCCGTCTCCACACACTTTGAGAACGTATGAGGCGAGAGGGAATAACCGAACGGCAGCCTGTTGTACTGATACTTCATCCCTTGAAAGGAGAAACACAGGAATTTTCTGTGTTTTGGGATGATCGGTATGTGAAAATAATCATCTTTCGGGTCGACAGAAACAAACCAATCGTTTCTCTG